AAGGATGCTGGGGAATTATTCCACCAGACTTTTCCGCCAGAGGAATGATTGCTTCAGTGGACAGTGAAATTTGGTGAGCTGCAAAAGTATGAATGTAGAGCATATGAATGAGAGCATTTGCAACAAAACACAAAATTTTGGGGCAAAACGTTTCAGGTTTGCAACTAAGGGCATTGTACGGTTACTGGGTTCTGCTTGGGCATGGTTTAATGATGAAGTCATCGAATTTCACGCTTTGTCCACGCCTCAGGTTGTTTAAACACTTTTATTTCAACTACACCTTTCATCTTTCTTTCAAACTGCATTTGTGATGCGAAAACAGTACCCAGAACTGTTTCCGTAAAGCACTCAGGTGACACATGTTCGCAGTCATTCCTGCTGTTAGAAGGATTAAAATATCTTGGAAGATTTGGGATCTGAAAAAACTATTTACGTGTTTTGGTTCTCGTCTAGTTATGTTCCTACTGGGAGTAGTGATAATTTTGCACATTTAGTTTGTTGTACTTTCCATTAGTGACTTCCCGCAATTTTAGAAGATATCATACTACTAGTTTCTGTTACAAAATCTGTTGTTCAAGGAAAGTATGCTTTTCCATCCCTCACAGCTGATGCTGACTACCGGGGGTCTTTTTACTCAAAAATACCCGCTATCTTTTGAGTTTTTTTAGCTTTCACATGGGCAGACGTATTTGGGACGCTATGGTTCCATCCTTCTTCTGCCTGCGTCTTAAACGTCTTTTCGCCCTACGCATCCTCACGTTTATTCTGTCCGTGGAATGGTTACTTATTGATCATGTAAAATGGACGGGTTCATGGGATCGGTTGAAGACGTTCACGCTTGAAACTTTGCTTGCCGGATTCTCCCCCACTTGTGCAGCAAAATATGGATACCTCGAACGCATCGCTTGGCTGTTGATTTGTTCGCTGAGCTTGAAAAGCGTTTCTAACGTTTTGTTGTCAAGCAAGCAGGCGTCTTCCGTGATGGAGCTTTTGCAATACGTTGATCAAACCAGAACATCAAAACACCAAACAATTTTGCCGTGATAAACTCGAGCTTAGGCTGAGCGATGTGAAGCCTCCAGTCCTCTGAATCGGGGTACGGGCGAGTTACCACAGCTTCACTGGCATGGACTGGCTTCAACTGTACCCCCCCCCCCACCGGACGGGTAAAACCATTCATAATTGGGTGACCGCCTTGAATTATGGTGCTGGAAACCTTTTGGTCTTGCTGACTGATGACCTGTATATCATAAATTCCTGACTAGGCACTGCGACGGATTATTCAGACCCCCCTCAAAAATTTTGAAACTTCCTCAATTTCCCCGATCATCTTTCGGTTAGGACTTACAGGTTGATCCCTTCAGAAGAACAGAGTGAACAGTTAGTTATATTGGGTATGAGTATGAACTGTAAAATCGTTCGTACCAAAAAATTATGTCACCTGGTCCACATTTTAGGGTTTTCAAGGTCAAAAAAGTTCGAATCCTCAAATGGAGAATTTATTGCGATAATGGAATTAACGATGCTTTTCGGTTTCAGAACAAGTTTGGGGCAATCCGGATTTTTGAGTGAATTTTCCAAGCCAAATCACCGCTATTTATTCTCCGAAAATTTTCATTTGTGTGTAAAGCGATTGCTGACCTTGGAGGGGAATTCTTTAGTGATCCCAATTACCCAGGCCCATGGTGGTGATTAGTCCCAACTACGTATAAAGTCATCGTAGCGGTAAAGACAAGCTTGTACATGTTTTGCCTTTCACTCTCATAGCCAGATCGAATACATCAGCTTTCTTTTACGAAAACGTCGGCTGAAACGATTCGTTGATTCATTGCACTCCGGCAGACCATTCATTTTGCCTGTAAGTGACTTTAGTGCTCTAGTCAATTCAAAGTTACGATTGCTAGCCATTAGCAAAACGGTTTTAGGCGACAAACACCGATGTAATGATTGTCTTGCTTAATAGGGTCAACATATTAGCTTGTCAACACTCAATAAGTACGTAGAGCCCGCAGGTAGGGCATCGACCATAGATGTGACATAATAACGCAACTGCTGGCCTACGCTACAAAGTGCCAAGTAGGGGGTTCGATAGTTAATTCTTGTGATTGACACGTCACGGTGTTGCCCATTAAATAGTGGAGTGGATAACTGCCGAGGAGTCTCTGAGTGTCCGTCAAAAAATGATGTTCACTCTTATGGGCACTCATACGACTACGGTAAAACATGCTGGGAGTGGGAACATTTCTGCTCTCAAATGCGGGTTTTTGTCTTAATATACGGGTTATGTTATGCGGGTTTGGCACCATTTATCCACCAAAACTTTTATTAACGACAATATACCCCTGTCGACGTACGGAACAGTAATTGATCGGGCGTCCTTGGAAGCGTTTCTCGAGCCGGTTTTCCCGTGTGTGGCTGGCACCTTTTTTCAACTTACAGGGAAAGACAACTCATATAAATAAAGGGTGGTACAGTGCTCATGGAACCCTAAACTTTGTCTCCCCAAAGTGCAAACAGTTTCTGCGCCCCCTTCATATGGCAATGTACATTTCACAGGCACTTTCGTCACGCGTTCCGCGAGTTAGTAAGATGGAAATATATAGCGATAACTCCGAACGGCTATGCAATGAAAGCTATCTAAGTGAGCAATTTTGGGCTGATTTCCTCAACTAATTACTTTCACATTCTCTAAGTTTGCTGGCTTCTTATCAGTGGAGTAAGAACTTATATCAGTCAGATAGTTTGATAAAAGAACTGTCTTTACTAACAATATGATAAATTTAGTTTATCCAAACAAGTGCTAAGTGGCTAAACGTTCTGCTCATCTTCTTGCACATTAGTGGCTAGAATAAATCAAGTGAGTTCCGCATTTCCTTAAAATTACCGCAGACTTGTTAGAATGGACTGTGTGCCCGAAAGGTACACAGTTCTGTTTAAATAGTCTGAAGTCTGACAGCCGATTGTCTTCTGGTTCAAGGTTTTCGTACTCATATCCACTGTTCAAAAACTGGGTAGTTCCTATTCAAAAGCCAACACTGTATTTTACAAAAACAAAGGGAGAATGAAGTGAATCCAAAGTTCATAGAGGTCTCATTTAAAGCTCCATTTATAACTCGCAAATTACTACTCATGGCGAATGCGGAATTTTCGTCACCTAAATTCGAATATTCACTTCCGTGTATGCCAAAATTCTTGTAAGACACCTGTATTATGTACTAAGCAGATTCTAATGAAGTTCTATACTGAATCTAAGGATTTGCAAACCTCGCAAAATCACTTGAAAATAAGAAAAATGGTTTTTCTACTGTCATCAAAGTTTTATTACAGCTTGTGAGTAACTACTGAATACCTGAACAGTGTGGAGGTTTCCACTGAGTAAGTAGATGGCATGCGACAGATAGAGGCTTTGACTGTGGATTTTATTATTATACAATGAGTTATTCAGCCTCACGTTGTCGTTGTACTATGTATCCTATGCCTGGGTCATAGATGTTGAAATTCCGGAGCCTTAATGTGTCCCTAATGTGATTTACGGGATGTAGGGTGTTCTTGTACATGGGTCTTTCCGAGGACCTGTTCACCGATTCGACCCAGGAGGACAGTCTGAATAAATACTATGTAGATTATTCCGAAAGATCCAGCATGGACATGCAGTTATAATAAAGCTAATAGACAGTACTTTCGACTGAACCAAGACAAAACTCGGCACTTTGAAATCTCAATTTGCTTGCGATACTTGCACTTATGAAGTCTCAAAGTTCTTTAGACGGTTTGCTTTAGGATACCAAGGTAGAAAAGCATGCTAAAAGAGTAGAGGCACAATATTTTGTAGGGCTTTGAACTACCATATATAGAGGTTGTGAGCATCCTTGACCAACAAACTTTTTCCCATATGTTATCCTTTGTACTCGAGTCTTTTATCCTGAGTTCTTCCCCTTCAAAGGCTTTTTGCATCTGAAAATATGCGGACTTTACAAAACAAAGCATGATGTATGTGGAACATTGATCCTCAGTCACGCGCGTAACACAGCACACGTTATGACAGGGTTAGTTAGTGCTGTCTCGCGCGATTTCATCTCGTTTTATTTAACGTTCACTTGTTAACTCGCGAAACATGGCATAGTGTCAGACATTGTCATTGCGATAGTAAAAAGTGCGAAATCTGACGGTACGTTGAAAAGCTGAAACTCCTGTTACAGAACTCTTTTGTTTTTTGTATGGGAGAAATGAAGTGGGAGCCAGGTGGTGAGACAGTGTTTCAGATTTTTTTAGGTCAGCATGGATTTATGTTCAGTTACCTGATGGCCACAACCACTGTCCGGTTTAGGAATGGGCCAGTATTGTGATGACAGATCACCTGAAAATAGCTTGGTTTACTTAAGCCTCATGTGTGAGTATTCTGCTAATTAAGTGTTGGACAGGCTTACAAAACAGTTTTAGCTGTGATGTCGGCAGTGGCCGGTTTTCATCCTCAGCACCAGTTCAACAAATAATGTGTTGCAATGATGAGTGCATAACGGTTCAATGTCCTCTCAAGAAGAAGCTTGAAGGACTAACTGAACACATTCGTTATAACAGACGCTAGCTTTTGAATTCTATCAGTGACTGAAATCCCATTCACCTCATCGGACTGAATGTAGTTCACGGCTCGTTGGGCTAACTAGCCAGGGGAGCGCACATACAGAAAGAAACACCAATGACATTGTTCGTCGTGTTTTGATGAGCGTACCTCTAACCAGACGACAGACTATAAATGTTTACGTGCACTGGAAAACGTTGGACAGAACAGGCTATCAAAACATACGAACACGAAAAGGCGTGTCATGTGGTTATTATCCATGATACTGAATAATCCATATCCAAGTTCGTCTACGTTAGACGTACTCCAACTAATTGCTTGTCAAATTATCGTATTATCCTCTGAATGAACGAGAATGTCGAAGTGTTAAGTTAAAAACGCAGTCGAGGTAGATAAATTGCGCAGCAGAGCGCTTACTTACCTTCAGCGAAGACGAGTTCGGGTAGACAAATACTGGATAGTTATCATTCAAGTCCAAAATAGTGATTCGCACCTGGGCAGCCGAAGTCCGATATTTTTGGTCAGTTGTTGATCGCGTGGCACCGGATCCGTCACCTGGTCGTTCATAGCTGAATTTTTCGAGACCATATCGTTCTGGGCGCGAGTGATCCCCTCCACCATCTTGAGCCAATACGGTAAACCGATACACAGAACGCAGCTCCCGGTCAATCAGACGACTTGTTCGAAGAATGCCGTCCTTTGTAATCTAAATAAGAGATCGATTTGAGAAAAATGCAGGTGGAAGCGAACACAGCACATGATTGCAAGACTTACAGTGAAGACAGCTAGTTCACTCGTACATGTATGTTGACCTAAAGTGTGCACACAGTAGGCAAACAGACCACTTGGGTACAATTTTCTGAAGAATAAAATTTGTTATTCTCGCGAAATAAACTGACAGGATCGATTTTTGATTTAATATTATGAACAGACATGTTTAAGTTCTCCTATGTTCCTGAACATATCCCACTCCTGCATCGTTCTGATCCCATGTCTGAAGCACGAAGGTACCAAAGCGGTATATATGATGGGGTCTTAAGAATACACCATTTAACGTAACTGTAATGTTCGTCTGATGTGAGCGATTTTTGGGGCGAATTAAACTTTGAGTCCAGGTGGATCAATTGGGAATCTAATTGCCACGATTCGGTACTATACCGCGTGATGCTCACTGACAACGTGGGATGATGAATGTTTGCGATGTTTTCTGATAAGGGTCAAAAATTCAGTATAAGGAACATAAGGAGTTGAAAAGAGGGGAGCTTTTGCGTCTGAAGTTGACCTCACTGTTGCAATATATCATTTGTCCGACGGTCGTTCACGACTTTCCCCTTACGTCACACCCTGTTCCTGCATGTCATGTAACTCGTGGTGTACCGGCCATATGACCAGTCACGCAAAGCAGGTCTTTCTCATTTTCCTGTTTCCAAACAGCAAACTTTTTTCCTGGGAAACAAATTTCCGAATGCATGTCCGGTTATACTTTTGAGTTCAGCCCAAGTCCAATTGGTTTCGTTTCGAGGTCCACCTCACTATTCTTTTCTACTGGTGAAAGGAAGAAGGCCTTCGCTGCGGAGTTATTTATTAGGAAATACCAACTGACTGGTTACAGACCATTCAACAGGGAAGCAAAACTCTATTTGCATCTTATTTACAAAAATTGGACACCCATCTTCTCCCGGACGCGTCTTCTTGAACGTTCCTGGAGATTCAGTGACTCCACTCATTCGTCGGTCAAATCCAAGCAAATGTTACAAGGTGACTCCACGAATTCCGCAACAGATCTCCCCTTTCCAAAAGACGCAAGGAGGAATTCTACAAACAACACATACTACTCGCGTGCCTCTCCATCAGAAGTATCACCGTTACACTGGTACTGATAGTATTGGATGGATGACACTTACACGGAGCGTCGACTAATCCACTAAGGCCGAAATGTGTTATCGTCCATATGAAGCTAAAAAAACTCGGTTTGGATGCTTTTTACTCTTCAAATACTATCGTTGAAAGGACGAAGGATATGAACCGGGAAATTCAAAACGAAAATAAATAGGATAAACGTAGAAATTACCACAGAATATACCGCTCAGTAAGATCAATGCGAAGAAATGGCCCAAGGTCCGTCCTAGGTAGTAAGTACATTTACAAAAGTATTTGGTATATGGGAGTGCAAACAGGCTGTCTAAATTATTCAAAATAAATATTTATTCGTGTGTGATTTGATCGCGCACTAATGATTGTTTTCATAAAGGAAACTACTCACAAGGTTGCTGAAAACTCTTTGACAGCCCACGACCGGTTTCGCCCTTCTTGGGGCTCATCAGGTAGGCGCAGTCCCCGAGTTTCCGTCAACCTTATGATCGGCTTGGACCCAAATTGGACTGTTTTCGAGAAATACACTAATTTGCAAATCAATTTAGTTTTCACGGGAGACTCATTGAATCTCTGGTTTATGATGTTCTTTATGAAAATATACTGCGATATCTCGAATATCTTGCCAACTGAATCATGAAGCGGCTTGTGTGCAGCACCTTCAGTTGGAGGACAGCATAAACGAGAGACTCAGTTGAGTCTCCCATGAAAACCAAATTGATTTGCAAATGAGTGTATTTCTCGATAATGATTGTTTTGTTGAGACACAGTAAATGGCTCCACTCGGTGTTTTCAATGACACCAAGAAGGTCGCCGTTTGCATGTTTATTTTGTCCTGTGAGCTTCTAACGACTAGATGACAGTCAGTAAGTCACGTGGAACTATCTGGCCGGATCGATACGCTGGTCCAAACTGACTAAATGCCCCGAGATCGTTTATCATTCGCCTGATTTTTGATCCTCTACTACAGAAGCTCAGTCATTTTGGAGACAGCTATGGATCCAGGCGACTTACGTAGCCTGTGTCATATTAGGAATCAAAAGACTAGATAACAGGAAAAGAGTCGCCATCAGGTAACTTGTCCTTGATGTTTACTTCAAGAAGAGGCTTAGAAATGACGTGTATTCTTAGTTGAAAGGCGTAAAGCTTTGTTACAAAAAGTTTTCATGTAATGAATGCAGGTGCTTAGGTCTACTGAAGGTGTTTTGANACAAAAAGTTTTCATGTAATGAATGCAGGTGCTTAGGTCTACTGAAAGGTGTTTTGATTGGGACAGATGATTTTTGAGGTGACGGCATTCCTCGGCTGCTTTTTGTACTGGTCTGTATAAATATATGTTGGAATCTGTTTTCTCGCACTGTCTCCAAATAAAATTGAACCCATTATCACCGGTGTCATCCACGCAGGTTTAGTTTATACTGCACATCCATAAAGCCATGGAAGTGTGTGTACTGGCCCAACCGCATCAGTGTATACCCGTAGCTGTTGTGTACCGTCTGGCTTGCGGTTACCTTTACTCTCTGGTTGCAAATTAGATTGCTAAACGGACCAAAGTAAAATATTCCAGTACCCCACCAGTAAAGCCCGTAGGATGGAGAACGGCGATGTTATTCCTTGCAACATTTTTAAATGTTCCCGCGTCTTCTACAGTTGAACTTTCGGGACAAGGGATCTCTCGAAAAACGTTCCACTCACTGTTGACTATGGAGTATGGTTGTTCTCTCTATTCCCCCACAACGTACACGTTGGAAATCGTTCCGTCAAGCGCAGATGAAGAATTTGTCTTATAAAATGCATGCAACAGCTGCTTAGGTATCGGGGTTGAGTTGGTACATGGAAGTCGTTTAATTGCCATGCAGTAGGATATATAAGACCACCGTCTTGTGGATATCGGGTCTCCAGTCGCAGACTCCGGTCTCTTCGCATCCGTTACTTGAGTTTGTCAAAGGCCGCGATAGGTCTTGCCGACATGGGAGAGAGTCAAGTCAGAAAATACTACATATGAGGTAGCAGAAGAGCGTAAAGTAGTTCACAGGATTTGTCCCAGCCTTGGTGTGGGAAGAAATTTCTTGGTCTGTATTCCGAGCAAATATGGTGCAGAACGAAATTCATCTATTTCCTGCTCAGGCCATAATTTGAGACAGCGGTCACAAATTTCCCAGCTAGGTGCTGCAGTTCATCGGGAGTTTGTGCAACCGTTATACGGTTGTCCGTAAATAGGGGGACATCGGCCTTGGTCTACTAGAGGAGACTGAACAAATGTTCAGTACTGAGTATTTTGTCCATCGAAATATTCCTTGATCTGCACGCCAGTATCACCGTCCACCACAGCCGCACCCACAGTGATCGACGCAGCGGTTGCAAGGAAGCATCTCTGTATCACTCCACGGAGGATTTCTAACTCACTTGAAGTGGAGTCATTTGTTTCTGCTTTCTAGTATATTCCATCATGTAGGTCGCGGATTAGTTTGGCAAATTTTGGCGGAAAGCTACATTTAGCAAACACTGTGTATATACTCCTCATCTGACGGAGTCACTGACCTTTGTGAGGTCTGCTAACGGGCTTAGATTATGGGAGTTTTCTTGCACTGATTTACAGCAAAAATCAGGTCTATCCAGCTACAACCAGCACAAGATCCAAAGTGTTTTTCAGGAATGTTAGTTTTGTTCACTTCCTGACCACCACTTTGGTGTCGCCAGAAGACTTGTCACTTGCTTTCCTGTGCGGAGTAGCACAATGAAAACACATTGAAATTTGAAGACTCTCTTTCCTGAGTAAGATCGTAGTGCCTGACAGAAGAAAGACATTTACAGGGTTCAGTTTGTGACAGATCAGTCGACGTTAGTTGGTCGATTAGGCAGTTTCCTGGAGCGCTAGTGCCATATATCCAATATGTTTGAAGATGTAGTATGCTTAAAGCTCATAGGAGCGTCATAAGGAGTTTGAGTCGGTTGGATACCCAGTCCATAGATGGCATTTAAACAATATAAAAATTCTTTGTGTTGCCACTAAGTAGCTCCACCACCATTGGTCATTGATGCGGCTGAGTTGTCCAGCCAGATCAGCCTGTGCTGTCTAACTGCTGTTCCTTGGCCTCGCTGTTCAGATGAGTAAGAGATTCGGCTAGCGCTTCGCTGTTTAACCCACCAGTTGTTGTATTTAACGGTAGCTGACGTCAGTCAGGGCGCATGGGGTGAAGTTAAGCAATCTGATTTGATGCCATCGTCGTCGATTGATGCTTCGAGCTGTGCCGTCGTAAGAGTTTTGTGAAATTACGCTATCATACTGATATTTTGTGTCGACCAATTGTGATCTTCGGGCTTCGTTTCTGGACTACATATACCACGTGAAGTCGGTCTATGTTGGAAAGCCGAGAAGCATTATGTAGGTGTTTTATACTTGTTGCAAATGTTCTGTGGTGCTTACCCATGAGTCCCAAGCCCCAGGCTGATCAATCACTTCTTACTGGTTGATGGAGTGTTTAGAGGTTGGCCGGTTGGAGTCTCCCTCGAGACTAATGATTTGTTTCTGCTGTTTAGCCCAAACAAGCATGCGACAGATGTTGTTGTTTATTACAAGGTGATTTTGTTCTCAGGATAAAATCCAGATTACAGATTCAAACTACATCAAAAATACAAACGGCTTGCAGCGTCCTCACAAAGTCACGCGCCCGTAAGTAGTAAGCTCTTGGTTAGCACCAAGTGGCCCAGGGATAAAAGGGGAGTGGAGAACAATTCTCTGTAAGTGAGAGCTGCTCAGTCATTTATTCGCTATCCCCAAATGAACGGTTGTGTTCAATCCAAATCAAAGGGCTGGAAATATGAATCGCTCAG